CACTTGTGGGACACTCTTGTGGGGCACTCATACGGGACACTCTTGTGGGACACTCTTGTGGGACACTTCCTCCAAAAGTCACGCTGCGAGGCTGCAAGACGAGCGTTTCGTAGGAGACTTCCTCCAAAAGTCACGCGTCAAGTCTCAAAAACGAGCGGTTCAATCGAGACTTCCTCCAAAAGTCGCACGTCAAGTCTCCAAAACGAGCGTTTCGTACGAGACTTCCTCCAAAAGTCACATGTCAAGTTCAAAAACTCACATGTCAAAGTCTGCAAAACGAACGTTTCGCACGAGACTTCCTCCAAAAGTCCAGCGGAAACACCCATCGGAGCACACACACATCACGCAGCCCTGCCAAGCAGTTTCGCGATTCCAGCCCCTCCAAACGACGCCCGCTCACACGCCAATCCCAATGTGACAGCGACATTCACCTCTACCACAACTCACAACCTCCCCATTCCCTGCGCCTGCCACGAATCTTTCCGCGTCCACGTGTCTAACGCGCACAAAGTACTGCGCCTGCCACGAAATGTCACCTCCGTCACACATCGCAACCTCACGATTTCCTGCGCCTGCCACGAAAATCTCACTTCCACACCTCAAAACCCGCACAAAGTCCTGTGCCTGCCACGAAAAGTAACAATGTCATCTCATGTGAGCTTCAACCAAATTTGCACCACACCACACGTTTGGAATGATTTCGACCCGTTCTGAGGACACTCCCATCCACCAAAATTGGCATTTCAGCTGAGACTTGTTACGAAAACAGAGCTTTGATGCCGCACCCTGAAACGCAAATCCCAATGGCACGGCCACATCCAACACCCCAAAAACACGACTCTCCAAACGCTAATCCCAATGGAACTGCGCAGCAATCTGCAGATCTCACCAAACGCTGCGCCTGTGCAGCGAAATGCATCACGCTTCTTGCGCGACATGTCCTTTTCACGCAAATCACAATGGAATAGCGGCGCAAACTCACACGTTACACATCCATGGATAGTCACTTGCAAAAGCTTCCCCCAATGGCAGCGCCTTAGCGCTCTACCGCGGACGGTTGCGAACGGTTGCGGACGGTTGCGAACGGTTGCGGACGGTTGCGAATGGTTGCGGACGGTTGCGAACATAGAAACAACGGGTCGCGAACAAGGCTCCACCCCCAGACCCCCAAGAGTTAAACGAGAACCCTTCGCTACGCATTCGGGAAAAAAGAGTCTTGGACTCTCAAGGGAACTGGTTTTGGTTGGGGGTCAGTTCACAATGGACACCCAGGCACATGTGCAGTAGATGCATGCACCCTCCCTCCAACAAACATGGACATCGACAACGTCCCCCACCTTAGCATAGAGGAGGAATCCATTTTCAAGGGGCCAAGCTGAACACCGAACACCAATGGTTTTCAAGAAGGCTGAGCAAACATGAACAAACTGGTCGTTCGTGGCCAAAAAAGCACCAATCGCCTGAAGATGATGATCAGTTTGTGCACCAAATCACCGTGCACTGAGTGCACTGGTCGTTGGCTTGGACTCCACATCACTGGGGGGCTCAGTTCCTAGCTCCCACTTTTCTCCAACACCCACGGACTCTGAGCCACGTCACGGACTCTCGGCCACGTCACGGCCGGATGCTGGCGCTTCAGGTTCCGGATGCTGCCGGGCTCCGTGGAGACCTGCGGCTTGAAGATCCCCGACAAGGTGAGGAAGTCGTTTTTGGGGTCGTGGGATAGGTCAAAGGGATCGGGGATCAAAAAGGAGTCGCTCACGGAGCTCAAGGAGTGCTTGGCACTCATTGACCTTCTGGACGTCTGGCCGGACATCCTGCTACTAAAGTCCTGCTGGAGCTCCTGCTATTGAAGGGCCCTTGGAGTTGCTTCGATTCCAAGGGTGCTTGCTTCATGAGCCGGCACATCCAACAACTCCTGGGGGTGTTCGAATCGTTGCACGTGTTCATTCCTCAAACAGGTCGCGAAGGCTATGAGCAAAAAAAGACTAAAAAACAGCCTTTTGTATGACGGAGCTGTCATTTCCACACCAAAACAATTTGGATTGGTCCTCACCAAAAGCCCCCCAAACACTTTGGCTTCCTCAAGACCACCGCCCGCCGGTTTAGCAGAACACGATGCGGCTCGGCTCTGCCGCCGCGGTTCGGGGGAACCAACCGAGCCGCACGAAAGCCGCGTTCGCATCAACGGGCGCAGGTGATCATGGTGAAGAGTTCCCTCAAGGACCCCTTCTTCGACTCCGCAATGACCTCGTCGGCGCTGCGGGAGGCGGCGCAGAGGTATTTCAAGCTTCAAGAGAAGAGCCAGAGCAGTGGTGGCAGCCAAGGGGACGAACCACAGCCTGAAAAAGGAGCATGAGCAGTGGCCGTTCAGAGTGATTGAGCCGTTCAGAGCGAAAAAGGAGAAACGGAAGGGAGGAAAGGAAAAGGTTGAATGTTTGAAACAGCGATCCAAATAGCTATAGACACCCCTTCGGTGGATCCCACAATTTGATCCTAATGCCATACCAGGGCCTCCTGTTTGGGGTGGTTAATAGACAGCCCCTTAGCCTCTAAGGGGTCTATTATGAAACACGCCAAACACCGGGGGGCCCCTGGTAGAGGGTGTTTGTGTGACTGTCCCTAGATCTCTAGAGGTCACTAGAGGTCCAACGGTGGGACATGAAAGCTTCATGTTTCTTTTTCTCAATCTGGGACCCTGGGTAAGGTGTGGGTATAACGTGTACCACGCGGGAGGGGTCTTGGCCACCCTGCGAGCTGGAAGAGAATACGACAAACATATTCTATTGGATGACAATCTTGACAATGGCACAATTGGTAGGACACTTTTTATGGATTGAGGCAAAGAACCTCACCATCCCTCAGGTTTACAGTGTCTCAAAGGATCAAACGTCTTATCATGTTTTAACATGTTTTTCATTTTTTAATACCAAACACCGTTGTAACATGTTTTTCACGTCTTATCCTTTGTTTGAACAAGAAAACACGATTGGCCACTGATTGGGTTCATATCTCTTAAACCACTTCGACCAGCATCGCCAGGGTCTCCACGCTTATGCCGTGCACGAAGCAGAGGGACCGTCACACCGCGGACGCACCGAACGGAGCAGCGAACCGATGTTCGGTTTCGCCGGTCTAGACGGTTGAAGATCGACATGTCCATTGAAATTGGCAGGATGCATCTATCTAAACCGTCTAGATAAATGCTTTTTTTAAAGACGGTTTAGATAGACGGTTTAGATAGAGGCATGTTCTGCTGTTTGATCTACAGTGTTTCACCAACCTGCGATACCTCACCCAGTGGTTGGCCACTCTTCCTGCTACCCACACTCTTCGCGTCGGGTGAACGCTCCCAACGCTCCGTGGGGGGCATGGCCGTGGGAGGAGCTGGATTCCACGACCGATGCAGGGGAACAGGTCACAGGGATGCCTCAAGTGGCAACAGGTCACAGGTCGGGTGTATGACACCTTGGCAGGGACCATGCAGGTTGCATTCTTGGTTGACACCTTGCGACATACAGGTCGCTGGTGTCAAGCCACTGGTGTATCAGTTCTGGGAACCGGCTACCTGCCAGGACGGCTCCGCGGTCCGATCGGTCCAGTGGACCGGAGGAGCTGAACGGTCGGTGGAGTCGAAGGGTTGATACCACTGCCAGACTTGTCAAGTGGGACACCAGCAACCTTGTAGGAACCCACTTGACAAGTCTGGTGTGGGACACCAGCAACCTAACAGACTTGTCAAGTGGGACACCAGTATGTTTTTGTTACTTGGAGGAAACTTGAGGTGGACCATTTGGTACCATGAGCCATTCGTTGCATAATTAGCTGCGCTCCCAGGGCCATCCAGGGAAACGGTTTGTTTGTTTGCAGGAGATTCTGCACAGACGTCCAGAAAGACGTTTTAGCCTGGCTCTCAGTCTGCTGGCAGGTTTCTGTCTGTAGTGGACACAGGAGGTCCTATGTTTTCTTTTTTTTTGCCAAGGAGGTCCTATGCACACAGAACCATTCTGATGGCATTTGCGCATGGTTCTGATTCGGTTACAAGGCTGTCGTCCAGGTTTGGGGGATTGAAGCTCCTGATGATCTGATGTGAAACTTTCCAATGATGGCGAACCTTTCATTAAAAACCACCCTTGTTTTGGGCTGCAATGGATTTCTTGCTCGGATCTTCCACTGACCAGATGTGGTTAGGAGAACACCTCCAATGTCTATGTGCAAACGCCAGCAGCCATAAACTTTTAGTGACGTCAAGATCTGTTCTCATCCAGCAGTCTCGACCAAGGTGCGTGCTGATTGTGCGATGTGACGCGGGAAGGTTTTGAGGCTGGACATGTCAGCAGAAGAGGAACCAACCTCCAGATATCATCGATGCTGTTTTCCTTTGGTTGCCTTTTTCAGAGGATTCCGAAACGTGATGTCAATGTGGCTTCTTTTAGCACTGGAACAGCCGCAATCTGTAGACTCTGCCGTAGACATGCCTCGACTTCTATGGTTTCTTCGTGGCATTGCAAAGCAATCACGAATCGATTTCTGATGTTTGCTGAGTTGTTTTGAAGGCAGTACTGTGTTGGCCGCGACCTTGCCACAATGCACTCAGCCATTCTGGCTTTGACAGAGCCTCCAGTGGTGTAGTCCAAGCCCCGTGGAAGTCATGCCGAAGCCAAGGAAGCATTTGGCACGGCTCCTGCGCAAGCAGGCCGGATGCAGAATGCTTCCAGCGGCACTGGGCAGGATGGTGCCAGCAGGTCCATGCTTGCAGCCGCAGAGTCACGCAGCTCTTGCGTCCCGCAGATCCTTTTTTGCCTGGCCGGAATGGGCAGCAGGCGCTGCAAATGATTTTGTGGCAGTGATGAGCAATGTGGATGGGACCATTAGTTTGTTCCAACGCTTGCCTCCTTTGAAGCCTGTGCTTCTCGTCCAATCGTGTTGTGTCGCCTAAATTGATAAAGAAGGAAGCAGGGCAGAGGACCTAACTATGCTCATTTCGAACAGCATGATTTCTAGCATGATGTCGGGAAACCAACTCTCACTCAGACCCACTTAAAGTATGACGTGTGTGTTATATATATATATATACATGTGCTCTACAATCCTTGTACTGTGCGTGTTTTCATAAACACTATCTATGCCATTTATCCTCATGATGCTGAGGCTCGGACAATTGGAGCAAGCCCGAGGGTGGCTGCAGAATTGGAAGCACAGCCCCGTTCCGGAGCTGACAGAGGAAATGCTGAAGAAGTCTGTCGCCATGATTGGCACAGCCAGCGAATTGGCAGGGCAGAATCCGTTTCATCAAAGGACGCAGGTGGAACTCCAGAAGCAGGTCCATGAGCTGTTTGTCTACATTGTGCTCCTACAATTGCTCTCAACCAGCACGACCAGTCACTTCCGGTTCCGCATTGTCCACGGAGTTCCCACTGTCTATTGCTGGGAAAGTGCGCTTGTCGAATCATTCTCTTTGGAGTTGCTTCGTGTGCCCAAGCCCTTCCGGCCTGTCGGCCAGGCAATGGGAGATGCTGATGCTGAAGAGTTGAGGAAAAGCGGTGCCTTCAGTGAAGTGGCCTCTGCAAGTGAGGATCTTTCCAAAACCTACGACGACGTCAAACGGCGCCAGGCAGAGTGGATACCAAAGGATGTGGCATCCAATCAGTGTGGCAAAGAAGTGAGACGCTTGCTGACAGTTCATGGTCCCAAGACAGTAGCTTCCAGCGATGGTGTCCTCTATTTCACCACAAAGGGCACAACCGCCACGAAGGACACCACCAGCACGAAGGACACCACGACCACAAAGGGCACAGAGACCAGATTACTAAAGCATGATTTTGAAGGCAAGGAGTTGAAGTCTTTCCCTGTGAGCAACATCAAAGGCTGTACCGGGATGGCGATCGCAGGTGACACTGTTGTCGCCTCTCTTCCTGACAAAGTACTTTGCTTTAAGCTCTCAGAAGAAGACGTGAAGTGTACCGAGCCGAGCCCAAGTCCAGTGAAAGGCATTAGTGTGGATCAGCAGAGTCAGTCCCATGCTTACTACTGCGTTGGGCACTCAGTGGTATGCTTGGACTGTGTGACTATGAAGGAGCACAGCATCATGGGGAAATGTGATGAAGAAGGATGTGGCAAACCAGGAACTCCACCAACGAAATTGCTACTCCACGACCCAAGCGCTACTGCCGTGGTTGACTCTCGTCTCTTCATCGCTGATACGGGCAACCATCGGGTCCTTTGCTTGGATATGAGAGAGAATCACTGTACGGTTGTGTTTGAGGGAGAGCATCCAAGTTTGCTTGCAGCCGATGGTGATGGTCTGTGTGTTTATGATGGTGAGCAAAACAAGATCTTCCATGTGAGCATGGGCACATGGGAAAAGGAGCATGTTCTAGGCACAGGCACCAGGGCCTTCAGCCGTGAGGGGTTGCCACCGCGATCTACGAACTTGGGCAAAGTGATAAGCATGGCACTTGGTCATGGAAGGGAACTCACCTTCGTTTGTGATGACGATGACAATGTTCGTACATGCAGGATGCCTGCAAGTCTGGAATCAAGTGCAACTCCCTGCGCGACATCCGCAGGACCAATGTCAGCAACAGACAAAGGACAGGAGGGACTTATCCCACTTCAACATGACTGTCTTCAGCCCACTTGTGGTTTCAAATTGGACTTCTTTTGCTCTGGACAGCCTACGCCGATGATCCTTTCGGAGCCCTTGCCACATGATCAGAAAGAGGTGCACATCAAATGCACGCTGTCATCTCCTATGGGCGGAGTTGGCATAAGCCTGCTTGCAGAAAATGTGGGGGATTCCAACCGCAGGCCGGTGGATTGTCATTTGATGAGCTCTCCTGAGTGGAATGCACGTGTCTTTGTCAGCACGCTCTCAAAGTTGACGAAGAGGCAAAATGCGAAGCAGGAATCAAATCAGCAAGTGGCAGATGAACAAGTGGCATGGCAGCGGAAATCTTTTCAAGAGGTTTTGAAAAAAGGAATGAAGATTTTTCACGATTGGGTGAAAAGCGAATCCCCAAAGGAGAACTCAGACAAGGAATCCCCAAAGGAGAATTCCATTGAGGAAGCATTCTACCTCCGGCGTGAGAACCACTTGGAGGCGACCGTTGAACGCAGATATGATGAGCGTGAAGACTGCTCAATTGTGCTGTTCAAGGAGTTAAAAGTCAATGGAAAGAGGCGTGCTGGGGAGTTGGATGAAATCAAGGTGGGTCCTCATGTGCCAGTGAGGCTCTGTATCTTTGCTTTCCCAGACGGGCCTTTCTTGAAGTGCAAGGAGCCTCCCAAAATTAGTGAGCTGCGCTCCTATGTGTAGCAGGCTCATGGGAGAGAGGCTTGCACGTGGCCCATTTTGCATGAATTTCGAGTCAGTGAAACTACTCTTACACCGATTACACTCAAAGGTGTGCCATGCAAGTGTTTCCTGATAGCTATCAGCTGTTTCCACGCACGCCACATGGCGTGCATGCTGAAGCCAGAATTTGTTCGAAGCTAAAGTTTAGCCAAAGGATTCTGCGCAATGAACATGCAAAGAGTGCCGCGTCCAGCCCGCATCACTGACCTGTCAGATCCTTAAGGCAGCAGGCAACAATCCTACAAATGAACAAGCGACATGTCATCAATCAAGCTGGTCAAGCGGTATGCGCTCCAAACCTTCGTTTGCATCTTGATTTGTCATGTTCTGGTCGTGCCAGGTGAGCGGTGAAGAATTTGTGGTGGAGGACTTGCACTTTGATGTTGAGCGTTCAGGGCGGTTTTTTTTTTTGTGTGTGTGAAGCTTTGATGGACAAACAAAGGTGTTGGAAGCACGATTTCCAGTCAAACTGCTCGTCGAACTGATGGTTATGGTTGGAACATGTCAATCTGTCGAAGCACCTTGGAGCATCAGAATTTGACTGACTCTTGTTTAGTTACTTAGCTACTTGGTATCACCATTGAGGCCGCTACTCTGTGTATGTGTTTCCAAGAAGCTGACGCATTTGTGCCTTAAATGCTTGCTCCAAGAAACACAGTCTTTCAAGGCACTTTTCGGTTTGGAGTCCAGGACAACCCCCTTGCACCGATTCTGCTGGACGACGGTCGACGGTCCGACCGTCGAATCGCTCTGCACGACATGGACGGCGCGTGCCGGGAGGTGTTGCCTTCGCTGGGAGAGCGAGGTGCGGGATGGATTTATTCTGATGGTGTGAGAAGTCATTCTTTTGCAATGTGTAATTATGTTTATGCGTCTCAAAAACTGAAGCGTGCGTGCTTCAAATGTTTCCTCAAAAGACAACGTCCTTGCCACTTCTAGTGAGATGTCATTCTTGTTTGGCGTATCGAAAAGGGCTGTTGATGGTCAGAATCAGAATTCATACTCTTTGCTACAGGCCCGCGAAAAAGAATGCACATGCTCTTGTTTTATTGTGCGTTGCCCAGTTGAGGGGTTCTGACTTTGTACAGTAAAGTACAGTTGTGTTTACATGGTTCACGTCAACAGCCACTCTACCAATACATTCCAAGTTATGGTACACGTGATGTTCGCCGAGTCCATGTTGTGGTTGTTCATGGAGTTTACGAACTTCCAAGACACGACATACTCCAAGCGGAAAGATGCGGAAAGGGTGACCTTCAGCAAGCACCAAAGGAGTTTTGTAGTAGCACGTTCATCAATAGTAGAGGCACCGGAGGCCCCCACAACCCATCAGAGCGGGTATTTTATACACTGCCGGGAGGGAGGGGAGAAGAATTCCAGTCTTACCCTCTTACCCAACATGTGGGAGAAGATGCTTTGCTTCAGGCAACGCAGAGAACGCCAGGAGCTCAATGCCGCCTGGGGTGGACGAATCACAAGCGCAAGAATGGGTCTCCACCTGTATGGCATGCTAAGGTTGCTTTACATACATGACAACGCCACTATCACTAGAACACGATCGGATGGATTGAGGCAAAGAAACTCACCAGCCTTCCCTTGGTTTATATTTTTGTTGGATCGTTTTTCATTCAAAAAACCAGGACCGATAGTCAGGCAAACAGCAGACTTGAGGAGATCATCGTGCCTCAGAGTGGCCAGAATTTGGCTGACCAGTTTTGGAGAGCCCACCGTGCTCTCCGCGCTCTCCGCGCTCGGAGAGGCGCGGCGCTCGTTCCCGCACTGGCGGCTTCGGCGGGCGAGGATGGTACATTCGGTGTTCTGGAGTCTAGAGTTTCCACCTTGTACGGGAGACATGTTTCCAGAGTTCTGAGAGTTTCATGAGGAGACGTGGTTCGCCTTTGAAGCTGTGAAAAGAAACGCCACGAAGAGAAACATCCGCTCCGCTCAGCTCGGGAAATCCTGCGAACAGATTGGTTGAATCTGATGAATCCGGGGTCAGGTGAGAATCGTTGAGCTCTTCCTCCAAATAGAGAACTGAGCCACCGAGACCCGCACAGAAGTTTTCTTCACAGCCTCACAGCCAGACTCGACCAGTGGAACTGTTCCAAGAGTTGTTCCAAAATGTTTCAATCATGGTGACTCCGAGTACAAGGGCCATCGAAAGGCTTGTGTTTCGACTAAGACCATGACTTGTGGTATTCTCCCCCATGCATACCCACTCCACTCTGACTCAAGAGTGAAGGGTTTCAAACTGGACTGACAGCTTCAGTGGCCCAAGTTTGATCCTCTGCAGCACAACTCTCAGCATTGTCATGCATGATCCAGGAAGCACCAGTGTTTTTGCATGATCCAAGCTCAAAGGTGACTAATATGTACAATAGTTGGGAGAGGTATCAAAAAATAAATAAGCAGCAAGAAAAATTGATAAACATAAATAAACAATGAATAAGCATCAAAAAAAACATTGTTTGGTGACCAGTACCCTAGTCCTCTGGTCCTTTGGTCCCCTGGTCCCTTGGTCCCCTGGTCCTTTGGTCCTTTGGTCAGCTGTCCTCTGGTCCCCTCGTCCTCTGGTCCCTTGGTCCCCTGGTCACTCCCTCGCTCACTTGCCGACCCTTTGTGGGCCACACGAGAGTAAAATTTAGAGTAGACAGAAGCCATCGCCAGGCAGCATCCCTTTGGTGGGCCACCCGAGGATAAAATTCAGACTAGGAAGGGCCCATTACAACGTAGCACCACTTTTGTGGGCCACCCGAGGATAAAATTTAGAGTAGAAAGAAGCCATTGCAACGTAGCATTCCTTTTGTTGGCCACCCGAGGGTAAAATTTAGAGTAGGAAGAAGCCATTGCAAGGCAGCGTGTATGTTTCCCAGGGAGCTTGAAAGGGCCACCAAAAAGCCTGTGTGCGTAGATGAGTCCAGCGAGAGGCTTGTGTGCACAGATGAGACACATCTGTGTGCGCAGATGATGCGGCGCGGATGGGCGAAACTGAGTGCGCGGATGAGTCCCTGCCCCCCCCTGGCACTTTGATCCCCCGGTCCTACTGCAAATACGCCCTAGTAGTTCCTCTCTTTGTCTTTCCTCGCTGCTTCTCTCCTTTGTCTTTTCTGTCCCTCTCTCCCTCTGTCTCGCTCTCCTGCTACATCGCTTTATCCTTCTGCTGCCGCTGCTGCTGTGAAACATGCTGCCTATACTTTGTTTGCATTGCGGGGGGGGGCGCTGCGCCCTCCCCCGAACCCCCTCCCGCTTCTTTAATCCCCAAGAAAGCTCCAAGCCAAGCCCAAAGAAACTCTAAAGAAGCGACGTCCCAAGCGAAACCCACCACATCTACAAATGTCGTCATTCCCAAAATGCTGCCTCTGCCATGAAATCTGCATTTCAAGGTTCACAAAGTGCTGCACCTGCCACGAAATCCGCACTTGGACGTGCGCAAAGCATTGCGCTTACCAACAACTTCTGCACTTCCACCTTTGCAACCTGCTACACCCACGAAATCTGCTCTGCTAGGTCCACAAAGCACTGCGTCTGACACTGCAAGTGATAACTATTTTTTGATCGCAACTAATTATTTTTTGATCCCCTAAAACAATATATTTTTTGATCCTTATCAGTTTTTTGCTCCTTCACCCACAATATTTACTGTAGCAGGCTTCCAGGCTTTCCGTTATAATCCAGGAAACTCTACAAGTAGTGTTCTTGCTTGCAGGACCATTCAAGCATAGGAAGTGCCAGTGGACACTTTGGCCCGGCTCTTGGTGCACATCCTTTGACGGTGCCTCGAGGAAATCTTTCCGAGGAGAGCAGGTTGCATGTCGTGGTTTCTTGTTTTCGCCAAGAGCGTCCAATCCATGCGAAGTCATTTTTCATCCATGTTCTATTGATGGTTTTTTACTTTTTGTCCTATCCATTCAATGAGGTTTTGGTTGTCCGAAGGTAGTAGTGGTAGAACCAATCTTCATCCCATTCTGAAGCTGGCAAAGCTTTGTTTTCTTCAAAGTTCCATCAAATAGCGTCCACTGAGGTCGCATGGTTGCATGTGCCAGGTGGTGTTTTACATGCGAAAGAAGGACCTTTTCAGGCTCCATGAGCTGCCAAACAGGAAATTAGCTGCAGATGCATAGAACTCATAGAACTGTTCTTTTTCAGAGGTCACATGCAGTAATCAGTAATTAGTTTCATTTAACATTTGGCTATCCCAAGGCACAGACATTCGTTGACTTCCGTGTTTTGTTCTTTTCACTGTTTGTCCTGGCTTGAAGGTCTATTTTTGAGGGAGGGCGGATTGGTGCTTGCAACGGTTGGAAGTTGAAAGCGCACTGGGGATGTCCTTACTGTAGTGTTGGTTGGAGCGATTGTGTTGTTTGCTGCCACCTCACCACTTGCCCTTAGCCATTTGGCTCCTCCATCGATCACAGTGGTCCACAGTGGCCCAAGTCGAGTCATGCTGAACCCAAGGAAGCACTGCTTGGCACGGCTCCTGTGCAAGCAGGCCAAATGCAGAAGGCTTCCAAAGGCAATGGGTAGGACGGCGCCAACAAGTGCGCACATGCCGCAGTGTCAGGCAGCCCTGTGGTCGCGCAGATCCTTTTTTGCCTGGCCGGAATGGGCAGCAGGCGCTGCCGCTGCAAATGATGTTGCGGCAGTGATGAGCAACGTGGATGGGACCATTAGTTTGTTCCAACGCTTGCCTTCTTTGAAGCCTCTGCTTCTCATCCAATCGTGATGTATATTTGATTTTTTTGTCGAATTGGTGTGGTGAACAATCTGGATGGGGCCATTAGTTTCCTCCAACGCTTGCCAGGTTTCAAAACCACTGCTTCTCGTCATTGGTGAAGCTTTAGCTTTTCAACAGGAATATGGTTAGTACCCACTTTGTGTTCTTTCTGCTTAAAGCTTGCATCATTCAGGAAACCAAGACTCTCTCCTTTCTCTCAGAACTGTTGCTTGTTTGTGTTGCATGCTGTGCGTGTGCTTCCAAGTATTGCCTTTTTGTGATGCTGAGGATCAGCCCATTGGAACAAGCCAAAGGTTCGCTGCAGAATTCCAAGCAGATCTGCCACCCAGAGCTGTTCCAGGAAATCCAGACGAAGTCAGCAGAATCAATGACGCAGCCAAATTGGCAGGGCAGAATCCGTTGGGACTCCAGAAGCTGGTCCATGAGATCTTTGTCGACATTGTGCTCCTAGAGTTGCTCTCAACTTGCAAAACAAGTCAGTTCCGCATTGTCGACGGAATTCCCATTGTCTACTGCTGGGCAGGTGCACATCTTGAGTCATTCTGTTCAAAGTTTCTTCTTGTGCCCAAGCCCTTCCGGCCAGTTTGCCAGCCCATGGGTGATGCTGTTAAGGTTGAACAGCTCAGGCAAAACGATGCCTTCGTTGCAGTGCTTGATCCTGCTCCTCCAAGCGAGACATGGCAGACTTGGCCAAAGAATTTGTCAGTGTTCGACGGGATCAAACGATTGAAGGAAGGGTGGATGCCGTCACCCGAACAGGATGCATCCGATCCGTGCCATGAGGACGTCGTGAAAGTATTACTAACAGTCGACAACCCGATGGCAATAAGTTCCAGCAATGGTGTCTTCTATTTGACTAATTCACGTGAGGTGAACAGAGTGGAATTGCTGAAGTATGGTCTCGACTCCAAGGGGTTGATGTTGTATTCGTGGCCAGTGCCGACTCATCAATTTTATTGGTTAAAGGTCGCAGTGGCAGGTGACAATTTCGTTGCCTTAGATCAGGACGGCCGAATTTGGATCCCAGCCCTGACACTGCACCATTGCATTTGCTACTCCACACCCCAAGAGCCGCTGCCGTGGTTGACTCTCGTCTCTTCATCGCTGATACGGGCAACAGTCGGGTCCTTTGCTTGGACATGCGGAAGAATGCGTGCGAGATTGTGTTCCAGGGACAATGTCCAAGTTTGCTTGCAGCCGATCGCGATGGCCTCTGTGTCTACGATGCTGGGCAGGACAAGATCTTCCACGTGAGCATCGGCGCATGGGAGGTTGACCATGTCTTGGGCACAGGCACCAGGGCCTTCAGTCCTGAGGGGTTGCCACCACTATCTACGAACCTGAGCATTGTGATAAGCATGGCACTTGGTCGTGACAGAGAACTGGCTTTCGTGTGTTCTGGCGACGACACCGTTCGCAAGTACAAACTGCCTGCAAGTTTGCGACCACTTGCACCTTCCTGCCAGTCATCCACAGGACCAATGTCAGCCACAGATGACGTACAGGATGCACTTGTCCCACTTCAAAAAGATGGTTTTCAGCCTTCGTGTGGTTTCAACTTTGTCCCCTTCTCCGGACAACCTGCGCAGATTTTCCTATCAGAACGATTACCACACGATCGAAACAACATGTGCATCAAATGGTCTATGTTGGCTCCACCGGGTGGACTTGGCATATGCTTAGTTGCAGACCCCTTCGGAAGTTCCCATCGCAGATTGGTGGATTGTCATATCTTAAGCCCTCCTGAGTGGAGCGCAGAGACATACATCACCACAACCTCAAAGATGAGGCAGCAAGTAGATGAGCCCAAGCAAAGGCAGAACCAGCCTTTTCGAAATGCTTGGGAGACATGTTTGGGCAAATTTCGCGATTTTGTGATGGCCTTCAATGAGAAAGAACCCGCAAAGGAAGATTTCTTGGGGAAACCGTTCTACTTCCAACATGAAAACCGCTTTGAGGCAATTGTGGAGAAGATCTACAATGAGGAGGCAGACTGCATCAAGTGGCAGCTCATTGAGTTAAGAATCAACGGAAAGAAGCGCGCCGAAGCCTTGGAGCCCATCACTGTGGGTGTTGATGTGCCAATAATGCTCTGTGTGTTTGAGGGCACAACAGGGGCTCTTTTGGAGTGCACGGAAGCTCCCAAAGTTATTGTAGATAGCTCCTACATTGACAGATAGCAGGTTCATGGGAGAAGCTTGCATGTGGCCCATGTTGCAAGATGAATATCGCGTCAGTGAAGTATAGTTGTACACGATGCAAGTTTTTTTTCCCGATATCTATTGGTTTATGTGCTCTTCAGCTGTTTCCACGCACGCCACATGGCGTGCATGCTGAGGCCGGAATCTGTTGATAGATCAGCTGACAAAGTTCAGCGAGAGGATTCTCCAAATCCAGCCTAGAAACAGTGCCGCATCCAGCCTCCATCACTGACCCGTCAGATCCTTGAAACAGTAGGCGACAAGCGAAACGTCATCAAGCTGGTTAAGGGGTATGCGCTCTTTTTCTTGACAATAGTTTGGCCTTGAAGGTTCCCCGGCACTTTTGTTCGAGTCTTTTCTCCGTCATGAGGACACTGTCGTGCCAGGTGAGCAGTGAAGAATTTGTGGCGGGGGACTTGGGCTTCGATGGTGAGCCTTTGGAGCAGTTTTGTTTGTGAAACATAGAGGTGTTGGAATCATGGTCCCAGCCGAACTCATCCAACATGATCGTTGGGACATCTCAATTTGTCGAAACAACTTGGAGTATCAGAATTTGGCTGACTCTTGTCTATTACATAACACCTGTAGTATCATCGTCTAGGCCACCGCTATGTGTATGTGTGCTTCCAAACATTTTTGACGCATTTGTGCCTTAAATGTTTCATTCCCCACAAAGGCAGGCAGTCCTTGTACTTCGTTCAGTTTGCAGTTCAGGAGAACCTCCGCACCTCTTCTGCGTCATCTCTGCTGTCAAGCCGAAACGACGCCGCCCAAGCGCTCTGCTCGGCTCGACGGCCACAGCGCTCGAGAGGCACCGCTCGGGGCAGCGCTTGGAGTGCTGCGAGGATGGATTCATTTTCCGATTCGGCATGCGAAGTCATATTTTTGTTTCGGGCGCATCGAAAAGGAATGTTTGTGGTCAGAGTTTCTTACTCTTCCTCGGTGTGTTTAAAAGACATACCGACCCACGAAAAGGAAACTCAGGACATTCTTTTGACATTATTGTATTTGTCAAGGCGGAAAGATGCGGAAATGAGGACCTTCAGCAAGGACCAAAAGGAGTTTTGTAGCCGCATGTCCATCAATAGTAGACGTACCTGTGCCACAACTACAAAAGCTGTCCCTGCTTGTGAAGACTTGCGTTCTGTTTGGGCCTGCTAGAAAGGTCTTGGTCTGATTTTTTGCATTTTGCACACTGCGGTGGGAATTCCAGTCTCACCCAATGTGTCGCAGAAGATTTCGTGGGCGGCTGATGCTTTGCTGCAGGCAACGCAGACAACGCCAGGAGCTCAATGCCACACCGTCTGGGGTGGACGAATCGGAAGAATGGATACCACCTCTACGGTGGTCAAGGTTTCGTTTACATCCGAACTGCTTGGGACAACGATTTGTGGTCTCGAGTGTTGGGAGAATTCTTGCAGGTCCAACAGGAATACCTATATTATAATCTTTTAATCTCTCATTTCTTTGACATTGTCCATCACATTTCTTTGAATGGATCTTGTCTAGATCTTGCCATGTAGGTCTGCGCGGTCTCACGGTTGATCCCCAAAGATCCAATTCGAAGGCCCCCCCAGCAAGCTGGGGCCAGGGGTGTTCCGCCAGCATCTGCCAGCCGACAAAACACCCGAACCCGACATCGAAAAATGAGAAATTCCATGGTGATTCCTGTTGATCGCTGGACTCCGCGCATCACAGGAAATACATCCGAGAGGCGTTCTGATTCCATGCCCCCCTTTTTTGCTGTTTCAGATCCCTGAAAACGAGTCGTGATGAGTCAACCAAAAGCTGGACAATCTAGGAGTTGCTGGCGCGGTGATTGGCCGAACACCGTCAGAGGTCATGAGGACATGGTCTCTTCGAAATGGCTTTGGATCGACTCCAGAAGACGTGACCTCCGGAGCCTCCGCTCGTTTGTGGGTGGAGAAGTCCTCATGGCCTTGGTCCAGGGGTGAAAAAGAACATATGAAGACAAAACAGAACAAAACACCTTAACACTCCATATACCATTTGGGCAAGGGGTCCAAGAAAAGGAACTATGAAAGCTTCATGCATGTCACGGATGATTCCATGAATCGGACGCGCATTTGGATACTTTAGACGACAATGATGGCATTTTCAGGCGAAGTTGCACGGCTATTTGGGGCTCCGTGCAACTTGTGAAGACCCCATCCAAGGCCCTGGAGGCGCCCTTCTGATGACAAGGACGGACCCTTTTGATGGAGGCGCAGTGTGGATAGGAGTTTCCCATCGACAGCGAGATGCTTTGAGATGCTTTGCCATGGTGATTTCCTGGACCCTTCTTTGGTTTCAACAGTCGTAGTTTGCCCAAAAAAATAGGAGAGATTCCATCGTGTGAAAGATGGCCTTGTTTGTTGTTTACGATTGATTGAAATGAACATTTGTGCTTCGGTGGACAGACTATGGGGACAAGGGTTCTTGTGCGGGCTGTTGTATGACTTAAAAAGTTCAACGTCTGTCCGTGCTACATAATTGATGATTGAATGCAGTATAGTATAGCTGATTGCACCCCAAAACCACGCCAAGACGTGGGCGAATTTGTGACATATTTCACTTTGCCACAAGTGGAGGTGGCTGAGAAGAGCAACACGGTTCTCTCAGAGCATGCCATGATTCAACAGTCTGCAGTCGTCAAGCCAAAGAAAGAGCTCAAAGTCCTCATGGACTACCAAGCACCTTGGCCAAGAGCCCACAGAGCCCACGAAACGTCCGTAAACTTAATGTTCTCATAGGATTGTCGCAAAGGCGGAGTTGGTCTTCAAATATAACACCCTGATGCGCTTTGATTCGGTGTTGGACCTTCATTCACACCCTGAGTGCTGCCTGATCAGGTGTCCAGCACAGAGCCTGCTGAGCTTGAGCCAGAGACGGTGGCCTGACAGGCTTGCGTTCCTGCTCAAGTTGGGGCAGCTGCAGTCGATTCGACGCTCAAACATTTGGTGAACCTGAGTTGCGCGATGCACTCATCATCTTACATCGGGTTGACCACCACGAGTGATTTAGTGGATTCAGGTGTTTACATAGGCTGACTTTGAAATCTAGAGAGTTTGCAGCCGTGCCTCTGATCACATTTTGAGCAGTTTCACTGGTGACTCGAGGACTGCATGACATGAGTGACATGAGTGTTGCAATAGATTCGCTGTGTGTGTTTTGCGAATCCAAACTGAGTCCAGTTGTTGTACCAAACAATTTGATGCTGCTCTATCTATTTATCGTTCCCCTCAGTGAGGCGGCTTTGGGAAACAGTACAGCTCAAAGTCTTTTTCAGAGCATTAAATTAATGCATTCGCTTTGGCCAAATAAGGTTTCAGAGACATCCGCTGAAGCCTGCGCGCCACTTTATGCGTAGAGTCGGGCCTAGAGTATTGAGATCAGCATTGCATCGGCAAAAAGGATCAAACAGGTTCACTGTGTTGACCGCATTGGAAATTAGCATCCAAACGCCTACTTTTGCACTTATTTTCAGGTTTGTTTTGACTGTGAGACGGAAGAGACGGGGTTGAATTTGTCTTCCCATCGTCAACCACCGTTCGGTGGCGCATGTTCGCACCATCGTCACTCCGCTCGCTTGCTCCAAATCACATCTGCTGTCTCAAGGGTTCAAATGCCCCGATAGCTGCTGTGAATAATCCAGAATCATGATGGGCCCACAGGTTCACAAGCAGAAATTAAACAGTGAGTACTTGCGACAGGACTTGTAACAAAACTTGGACAGGAAGATTTTGAAGGGCAGAAACTGGATCAAGTCCAGTAGTAAGTAGTGAGTTCATTTGAGCTTGGATGGATAGCCAACCAGGGCAATATGAGCCCACTAGCATCCACTAGCAGCCACAAGCCACATTTCCCTAGTGAAGACCACACCAATGCGGGCACCAAGTGGACTCGTCTTCAGACGAGGAAATGCCGATGCTCCAGACACTCGCGTGGGGCGCGTCTGAGATGGACACATTCAGTTGAAGATATTGAGATGGGGCTTATGTCAGGCGCAGGCTAGAGGCAGATCTTTGGCAAGCTGGTCGTTTCTGGCACGTTCTTAGACTAAGAGCATCTCACGACCACACTCTTTGCAGTGCATGAGTGCACTTTTCCTTGGCCCCACTGGCTTGAGAAGCGTCTCATGCCGGAGTTGCTGCCTGCTGCGCCGCGTGTGATTGTGGCTTTGGCGGCCTCGGCCTCAGCGTTCAGGGCCATGAGAAGAGTGGCCTAAAAGTCGATATCCCATAGGACATCACTGAAGAGTGGCCGTCTTTTGTTTTTCCACCACAGCAACTCAATTCTCATGGTCTTGAAGACGATGTTCCTGTAGCAGGCGGAGGTTTCACGAGACCATCTTGAGGAGGGTCAGCGTTTGCACCAATCCAACATGAAGACCTATCTCCCAGTAACTATATTCAGTATGCCTTCCAGCTTCATGACGATGTGGACTCCAATCGCTGGCTTGGCCGAACTCCCGAAGACCCCCCGGGGCTGCGAGTCCAACTGGGGCCTTTTCGGCTCATCGTTGAAGTCAGGTCCCTTCAACGGTCTCATCGGTCGCGGTGTTCGACAGGGAAGTCGCATGAATTCGTTCGCGTTGTGGAAGATCGACCATGGCATACACACCGACTGACTGGTGCGACTTCTGAGGAATGAGGCTGTTGGGATCCTTAAGTATACAAGGTATCTAATATAGTCTTTCATATAGTCCTTTTTGGGGTCAGCCACCCTCATATTCCCAAAAACCTTCCCTAAATGTCTCGCAGCTTCTTGGCCGTGTTGCACCTTGTTGGCGCCTTTTTTTTTTTCTCTCAGCGATGGCCTCCAACCTAATTGCAATGGCCTCGACCTACTACTAGGGTTTTGGTTTCTCTCAGGTGCATTCTCAACGGACCTTCCGATGGCTCTGCCTCTTGGTCTTCGTGGCGGCTCTGGGCAGCTTGGTGCGCCGAAAATCGAGTCTAGGAGCGGGGTACGCCGCG